TTATTACACACTTTATCTATCTACATGCTTTCACATATTCATTTTCTCTTGGTATCAATTTCTCTCAAACACTCATAAATCTCTTACAATACCTGCTAATATTTCAATAAATTAAATTTGTTTGCCTATTTCAAGCTGTAAAGAAGATTAAGCATATTCAGAAATAGTTTGAGGACTGCAGAGATAACCATGTAGTGGCGAAGGAAATCTCTCTTTTATGATGCAGAAAAAATGTTAAAACAACGGAATATATTGTATTTTAACTAATAGTATTGTTGTGTTGAAGTTAAAAAAAAATTTAAAAAAATTACACAATAATAAATTGTTTCCAAGAATTCTAAAATAATTTTTCTATCTTACCTATTGGAAAAAATATTTATCTAAAAAATGATATTTCATTAAATTTATCTAAAGAAGATTTTTCATTTACTGATATAGAAATACGGTTATCTATCAGGCGTCCAACACTCTAAATTTAGTCATCTGATTTTAAACCTTTTAAAATCATCTAAAAACGTCTAAAGAATGGTTTTTACTTATTGATATGAAAATGCACAAAAAATATTTATCTAAATAATGAAAATTCACACACAAAAAAAAATATATATTTATCTAAAGAATGATTTTCCATTGATTGGACGCCCATCTCTAATCAATTCAATTCTTTTTTTTCTCTTTCAAAAAAAAAAGATTACATAAAATTAGTCAAAAGATTATCTTTATAATCTAAAGAACAGGAGATTCTTTCTCATGGTATAAGCATCCAGAATTAGCGAAACTTGTTTTTTAAAAATGTTACACGAGTTAAAATTTCGCGTTTTATCTCACAATTTTAGTGAAACATAAGAAGTATTTAAACATCTTAAATTCCCTCTAATAACTCTCTTCTGAATGGTAACCTGCTTAATAACAACATTGCAGTAAAACAATCATATAATATTATAAAACCATCGCTAGTTGGCAAATGGTATCCATATTAATTTATTTAATTAATTAGTGAACTGTTAATTTCAATTTTATTAAAGAAACTGAATATTAGTTGATA